TGGACTTGAAAACGGTGTGTATTGACATCTTTCTGTGGTTAAAACAAGATACCTTCTGATGTTCGTTCATGTTTATTTCATGCTATAACTAGTTAAGAGGAAGAGATGATTGGTTCACGTGCCGCTTGAACTACAGCGATCTGTCACGAGTCGTGACACATTAAAGAGCCACAAAACGATATTTATGGTTTCAAATTCAATTTCTTAAAAAATTACAAAATTTGAAAGCTGATACTGTGTTTCATACCACAAGTAACCTACTCTGTCTTGCCTGTTGGCACGTTGTCAGTGTCCTCCTTGCTCCACAATGTATTTTTCACTGCATGAGAACATAATGTGTGGCGGGAGAGTGCCATGACTTGTCAGACGTAGCAACAGTAGGGAGGCGAGTCTTTGTGAAGGGACAATTGCTGCACTTAAAACAGCTCACTGAAGGGAGAACCTCAGTGAATAATGACTTAAAGTTCTCTTTCTCATACTAAGGTATCATGAGTCATTTGGACCATTTTATGATATTTTAGTGCTTTTGCCTCCTTTTTGGAGCTAAAAAGCTTCAGTCCCCATTCACTGTACTGTAATTGTATGGAAAAACAATACAGTGTGTTTTGTGCTCCATTGCAGAAAGTAAATCATTTGGGAATAAAAAGAGGCTGTCTAAATGACTGTATGACAGAATATTGATTACTGGGCACAGTATCCCTTTAAACTTAAAAGCACAGTTCAGACCACTTACTGGATCTTCTTACCAGAAATAGGGAAGAATGTCAAGACTGGGAACTGACATACAGTTCAATAAATGTGCCCGAGATGTGGAGACAGCGACGTTGATAACAATCAGCCATCACTGAATGCAGTGTACTAAAATGCATAAGACTCCTGGCCATGTGGATATGGCCATCTTTCCCTGTGGCCTGTAATCACACCAATCATTGATGTTTGGGCCTCACACAGATTCCCATCAGTGATATCCTGACCTCTGAGTGCTAAGAGAGAACACAATGAGACTGCATGAGTCCGCTTCAACCTACTGAGTTATCATTTATCAGTCTTATTGATCATCACAGTACAGCACACGTTTGTGTATGTTTGTTTCAGATAAGGTGCAATGTTTAGTAAAGAGCTTTTCCCCCATCAGGTTCCTGTTTTATCTCAGGGGTAATATAGCATTCCTCTGGGTTTATGGTCAGACTATGTCTGAGAGACAAGTTGAGAGAGTTGAAGGAAGAGAGCGAGAGAGAGGGTGTCTGTTCTATTTTTAACGCATTTGAAATCACCAGCACAATGAAAATAGCTGGCATTAGTAAGGAATGGGCAGTACAGCGGCAAAGTAAATACGATCTTCTGGCTGTCTCAGACCTGTGCTCTATAGTCCCTGCAGCTTACGATTCCATCCACTGTAACCGAAGGCAATGTTTGCATTTTTGCTGTTCAGTCAAGTGTGGTAAGGCATGAAGCATCAGTATTTCATTCAGGTCAGGGTCCAGTTCTAAGTTATAAGAACGGATCTCTCAGGGATGGCCCTAACAATAAAGCACCAAAACATATTAGTTTGTTCTGTACAGTTTTTATAAAGAATTACATTGCACACATTTCTTCATGCATTTTCTCTGTATTTGTAATTTAAAATTAAAATAAATATAAAACAATGCAAAACTAAGAGAATTTAGAATTAAAACTTAAAACTAAGAATTTGTACTTTGCTTATTTGAAAATGTAAGTAATGCTTGCACATGCAGATCTCACTACTCAGAAGTTCAAAAGGACACAAATCACCATAAAATGACATAAATGTGGTCCATATGACTCCTAGATAAATTTATAGAAATATACAAAATTATATACATTATATTATATATTTATACATTTTATAACAATAATATAAAAAGTAGTTCATATCACTCACGAAAAAATGTGACATTTTCATATATCATATTTTTTATAATATAATATAATATGCAAAAACTTAAAAGTTTTTAATATGACTCAGGTCTTTCCAAGACAACAAGAGAAGTTTAATTGCTTAGAAAACAAATACCTCACCTCTTCTCAAAAAGCTGCATATCTGTGGCAAAAATGTGTGATATGAATGTGCTGAAAATTATACATAGGGTTAGGGGGTTTATTGAAATCCCTAACTAGCAGTAAGAACTAGGAATATTGATGCTTGCCTTAACAAACAGCGCTAAAAAATGTATAGGCTTGCTTGGACTCCAGGAGCAGGATTGAGAAGTGCTGCTGGTATGATTTTTAGACTGGATAGTCCTTTTCTCAAAATAACACACAATACATTTAACAAAAACACAGCCAAGTGTTGTACAGCTTTGATTCCTGAGGAGAAGAAAAAACACATGTTGAGGTAAGCATGTTTTTTTGGGTGTTCCAGTGCAGAATTCAAGGAAACATGCTAATTGTGCAATAAGCACAACATGTGCTGTGTAGGTGTATGTGCATGTCGCTTGAGTATTCAGAAGGCAGTGATCCTAAACCACCACATCCTCTGGATTTCTGTCATTCTGCCATACATATGGGGAAACAAGATTGTGCTGCCATGCATGGGTATTCTGTAAATTCAAGTGGCAAAGGCTGCAACTCAGATTCACAAGCACTTTCTACACCACATATCTGTCACTTTGCCTGAATGTGAACAGGCACTTTTATTCTAGAGAATCCTGCAAGAGCCCCTCATTAAAACCACTCCTCTTTTGTAATTCATTGAGTTGACAATGTTGGGAAACTGCCTACCTCAGTGAGAGCCCCGTACAAGGCCTGGTTTATTAGACTGCAGTAAATTGCTGAACCTTTAAACTGGCAGGGATATGGAGCTATAGGGAACCGCAGGAAGCTGACGATACAGACGTGCTGTGGGGGTCTTAAGAATGTAGCCCAGGAGGGGATATTTACTGTCCTAATCCTAATTGAGAAAGACAACACAATCTGAAAAAACTGAATGTCTTCCTACATAAAGGCGACACATTAGTAGGCTCAGACCGAATCTGCAGACTTTTCACATTTCTTTTGGCAGAAAAATCTACAGAATGTATTTAAAGCAGCTGTGTGTACCCAGATAGTGCATGTACGTCTGCAAGATGTCTGTTAAAGATCGCTTCATCTGGAAAGCATCTGCTGTACAAACATCTGATAGACATTTTTAAGATGTCAGTTTTACATACATTCTAAAAAACATTTTCTAAATAGGAATAGCACACGTATGTAACAGGTGTTTTATTAATTTATTAATTTCACACAAAATCTCTCCCTTTGTTATTATCAATTATTTTATATTTATATCATTATTTTGTATTCTGGCAATTTCTTTTAATATTGATTTCTTTTGTTTGAGATGTTATTTGAGCTGTTTCTATACTTATATGTTCATTTTTCAGTATTTGTTGTAATTGTTAAATATAGTACGTGGCCCCTTTAAGAATTAAGGTTCCGGTTGTTTTCCTTCAGTTCGCGGTAAGCGCGGCTGGGGAAAAGTGAGTTCTGCTGGTGCTGGAGCTAAAAAGTTTCAAATTAGTTCGTTTCTTGTGATTTAATATGTATTTTTTTTTTGTTAAAAATACAGTTTAATCTTACTGAAACACTAATAGAGATTGTGTAACATGAAGTATGTATTTTTTTTGTTTGTTTATTAACCATGTATGTCAGTTCCGTGGCTAAAATGATCCGTTTTGACTGGCAGGTCAATGCTGAAATTGTGGAGAAAGGCCACGGATTGACATTTGTTTTCATTAATTTTCCTTTTTATTCATTCAGGTATGTTTTCTATCCATGTTTCTGTTAATATTGTTGTTTTGAATTCATGTAAAATGTTTTATATTGAGAAAAATGTTACATATTGTTGATTTAATCATATGCAGTTCATTTAAAAATTGTAATATGAAGAGAGTTCGCGGTAAGCGCGGCTGGGGAAAGGTCAATGCTGAAATTGTGGAGAAAGGCCACGGATTGACATTTGTTTTCATTCATTTTCCTTTTTATTCATTCAGAATAAAAAGTGGTCTATGGAATCTCTGTTGTCCGGTCTCATTAAATTATCAACAACGCAGAGTGAAGGTCCAGACCGGTCACACGTACATCACAGAGATGTCTATTTGACGTCTGCATTTATATCTGCAAAGCGTGTTTGCTCATCTGCAATACGTCTATAGGACATTTCTCATTAGATGTCAAATAGACGTTTAGAATATGTATTTGAGATGTTTATTATTTATAATGTAAAACTGACATCTTAAAAACGTCTATCAGATATTTGTACACAGCAGATGCTCTCCAGATAAAGCGATCTTTAATAGACATCTTGCAGGCCTTCGTGTGCTATCTGGGATCAGGGTATCAAGTGCACTCATTCAATCCCATAATGCACAGCAATAACGAGTGTACAGCCGATGTACACTCAACAGCTAGAAAATACCCATAATGCAGTGAGAGGGTCGTGCCGCTCAGAAGATTGCCTGCAGCTGAATCACTCATCCATCCTTTTTCCAAACCGCTGCTCCACCAGAGTAATATCATACAGGTATAAATTTAGTTTTAACTGATTATTAAATATTTCAATTAAGGTTTATACATGCTAGTTTGGAGCTGGAGCTGTCAGTTTGCTAAGTTTCAAATTATTATTAAACAGCAAGCACAAAGAAAAGCATCAGCCCTTCCAGCGCACTCGGTCCGAACTCGCTCACTCGTTTTTATAATAGTGAATGAGGGCATGTGGGCGATTTGTAACACAGCACAGGTGCATTTGTTGCTGCCATAAAGCAATCTGCCCTGTTCGATTGACAATTTCGTACACGCTCGCAGAACAGACGTTTGGGGGGAGCGTGGGAAAGAAACAGTGTACCATTAGAATGAGTTTGAAACTGATATTTCAAGGTAAAAAAAAAATATGTACATACAGTTGCTTTAAACATGGGAAACATTTTTTTGTGGTAGCTAAAAAAATTAATTAGACAAAATATTTCATAAACATGCAAGGGGACATGTGGAGCTTTTGCTGGTGCTCTTATCAGAAATATATTAGTGATATTTTACTGCAACATTATTCTCACGTTTTTACTGCTATGATGTGCATAAACCTACCAGCAAATATGCTTAAGTTTCAGTCATGATGTCAGTTTCCACAATAACCTTACACACTTCTATGACAGTTGCGATACACTTTTACAGTCTGAAAGGTGGTGCTGCCATCTAGTGGTCAGTAGCCTGGCTGTATGTGAATTCCTAAGTCACTTACATTACAAGAACCTTTGATTTCTCGTTCAAGAAAGCTAAAGGCACGAGATCATGACAGATATTAACATTTTATTGTGAGAAACATGAACATTATTCATTCCATCGAGAGCTCTTAAGTCAGTCTCCCATGATCCTTAGTAGATGATCATCTGCTCAACTTGCATTTTACAAATGACATATACGACATCTTTTTTACTCCAATTAATACAGAAAACACTCATCCTCACACTCAATGTTAAGATCATTTTTATACTTCTTAGCATGTTCAAATTCAAGTTTAGGTTTGTTTTCCCTGCCACATATTATGTGGACTTTAAGGCAGAGCTTCACAAAGAATTATCTTTTGCCCAATCACATAAGACTGAAACGAGGAAGGTTATACAAGAACACATGATTGTCTGAATATGGAGCAAAATAATGGTAATGTAGGCCACCAGCACCACACCTCCAATGTAAAATTATATTATTTACCTTAACTATTGAATATATTCATTTTAATCTCCTGTTATCAAATTGTAGATTTATAGACTTCACCATACCAGATTTACATAATCTATCAAAGAATATCCTTCGGACTGGACGTGTCAGACTTTTTAAATGCTTTGGAGGGAATTTTCACAGTTGAAAAGCATGTTTTAAAGGGAAGCATCATAAATAGAATCTGCATACAAAACAATGAGAGACATTTCATCACAATTCCCATCATTATCCTTACTGCTTTGATACTATAAACACTGCATTTCAACCACTGTAATGCACTTGTGTACCACAAATGTACTGTAAACACTATTTCTACAAACCTTTTGATCATAGTAGCCCACTATATGCATTATATGCCTTTGTGAAGTCAGCATGTTACCATGACTTTTCACTACAAACAGTAGATCACACATGAACTCACTTCTGTTGTCTGTTTACTCAGCTTTCAGATTACCAAGTGATTTGAAGAATCGTCTAAACCTCTGATCCTTTAACCTAATGCAGTACAAAAAAGTTGACCCGATTTCAATAATACAAGACTTTCTTGATTGTTTTTCACCTTAGCAAAGTCACATATTCAGTTTCTGACCTATAACCCTTATATTTTATTATCTATCCATGATTCATGTCAGCTTATCACCTTACTGCCTTATAAGTTCACACTTTAAATGACTGTACTGTCAGGTGAGTTCTTACCCCTTTCCTTCAAAGGTCATATGCCTGCTATGAGATATGTGTGATATGTATGACTTTAGTTTCTTTATTGCAATATTGAAACCAATAAAGCAGCCAATACATATTTAAAGGGGGTTGCAAAGGAAATTATGATCATAAATATGTAGGTAAAAGACAAGGATGTTTGCATGTATTTTCTCTATTACTGACTAGAATTTCAGTATGTCCGTTCTAGTCACCAACTCAAAATCTTTCTCACCATTCAAGATGCCATTTAGTTCTCCAACCTTTCTCGAGTTATTAAGGCCCAAAGAGCATTTCACTCCCATGTCTATCTGTGGTTACACCCTACAGTGTTTTCTCTTGGGAGGCTCATTACTCACTGCACAAACACAAAGGCCAGCCAAACTCCAGCACTGTGCTTTACTGTTCATATGATCTCTGGCATCCAACTGGAACAGATTTTAATGTTCCCGGACACATGTAAAGGCATTTAGGCTAAATGCATTTCAAGATAAACGTATATATATATGGCTTCCCTGCAGTCCTGGGTATTTCTCCAGGGTTGCTGGTGGGGGGGAAGAAAGGCTTTTGAAACAATTTTGGCACTTTTCTCACGGTCTAGCATGTACTGACTGTGACATTATCATAGCATACAAAAAACACACACAAAAAAAATTAAGGCAGCATGAAATGATCCCTGACAGACACCCATCCCAGGTTCTATGCAATAGTTAGTTATGAAAAGAAATCTTTTGTGCTTTTCAAAAGTGTTGGAAGGGGCCTCGTGGCTCTATTTCAGCATCTTTGATGATATTGCTTGAGGAAAAAGTAGTTGATAAATTTGGAATTTTATTGTGGATTTATATTAATAGCAGGCTAAATTAAAGTATGGATGGCTCACAGACAGAAGATGCACTTAAACTGACTATAGTCACATTTATGTAAAATTCACTAATAATCACTAATATGAATCTGAATTTGTTCATCATCCATTTGAGAAGGCTTCACATCAACATCAAACTGGATTGTCAAAGTGGAATCTTCCCATTTGTTAAAATAACAGAAAAGTCCCTTTCTCATTAATGTTCTGATGCATGAGAGCAATTTTCCTTGACTCACATTAGACCTACACAGTATTCACATAATAATAATAATACAAATTCACTGTTTCATAACCAACTACATAGTTTCATCATAATATAAATTTTGTAACTATTATTGGATATTCTTGTTTCGGAGTAAATATATGTATACTGTTATTCAACATCCTAAAAGCCAATTATTTGTTGACTGTAGGTGGCTCAAACAGGAACAGGAATAAAACAAGTCAAGGAAATAGTCTCCTTACTGTGAATCAGTAGCCAAGGCTACTACATACATTCATCTGAGCTCATACAGGTTCTCTCTTTGTATTTGGAAAGTGTATCCAAACATGTAACACCTACAATTGGTAGCACAATCCAATGCCTAGTGCATCTCACACAGACAAGCTCAAATGGTTTAGCGACTGAATCTTTCTATCCAAGAATCACATTTTCCAGTGGCAGCAGACCAGATTCATATGGGCAGGATACTAAAAGATCTCTTGCTCAACATCTCCACAATTCTCTCAAATGTCATCACCATTAATGAGCAAGAGTGAAAAGGAGAGAGATACATATAAGTGTATAAAATCTAGATCTATCACACTTTCTTTCCAATGCTCAGAGCAAGAATTTAAGCAAATCTGGAATGACACACACTCAGGAAATGCAAATCAGTTCAACCAAAGTGCCCTTTTCCTACGATAACACTCCTAAAACATTCCAATCAAAAAAAAAAACTATTTGCCACAATGCCATCTAATCCACACCCCATCTAGAGGTTTTTTTTTTTTTAAGGACGTTTTAAGTTTAAACTTCAACTTCAACTGTTCTTTCCTCACACAGTCGTGTACACTAATCATATTAGAGCTCACTGCCCTGGAAGTGAATAATCATGTTTCTAGACTGCAGGACAGAGAAAACTGACTTTATGGCATTCACTGGACAGTAGAAAGAAAAACAATCAACCTGGATGACTGACAAACCATCAGACGATACGAACAACTGCTCAAGTGTCAGAAAGCTCTGTAGTACTATTAAATACTCCATTCATGCAATCACAGACAAACTGATTGGAAAACACTATGATACCAGGAATATACCTATACCTATCACAACTGGAAAAGCCTTTAAATAATATTACGACTTCAAAATCACTCACCATTATTGTACAGATAGTAAAATCCATTCAAATAGCTGACACAATTGACTTGAACGTGTCTGTAGAAAGCATTTCAGCTTTAACAATAGGTAAAAGCCTGTCTGAAACTCATTTGTGTTACTGCATCTTAGATAGTAAAGTAAGTGATTCTCACAATAACAGCATTATTTATCAATGTGTCAGGGCAGTCCAGCTTAATGAAAATACATAGCAGAATATTTGCTCATGAATCTTCACATATGTGCTATGATGTATGAGTTACATTGCTTTGCACAACATACAGTACCACACATTTTAACCCTTGAGTATTTTCCGAAGAAGTCCACTTGATATGTTTTTGATGAGTTCTCAGACACAATATATACTTAACAATATACTCAAAAGTATATTGTTCAATAAACATATCCAGAGAGGTTTTGGATGAGACAGATTGTGGCTTTTGTGTTAGACTTGGGAGTCTCATTCCAGTCAACCCTGAATAAGCAAAAAAAAAAAAAAGTCACTTAAGAATGATCTATAGCACAAGGCTAGCCGCTCTGTCGTATTTGTGCTCTCTGCAGATTTCCATCTTCAGTTTAAATGCGGTTAAACAGCTTTCATGTTGAAGTTGAACATAAATGTTAACCACGCCACAGTGCATGCAGGCCAGTGTATTTTGCCAGTAGTTTATAAATATGTGCATAATTACTGGAAATACCTACATACCTTCACCAAACCCAACAACGGAAAAAAGAACGGAAGAAAACAGGCCACATAAACTACACATTTTTGGAATCGTAGACATTCAAAGAGCATGTAAACCTAGTCTCTGAAGTGATCTGTTATTTAGAAGGCAGTGTAAACCAAAGCAGTGCATCAATTCCACTGCAAAAAAAATAAAAAATAAAAATGACAAAGTATGGAAGCATACATATTGAATGTCTGGCAACCAGCTATCACACAGTAAATATAATTGTCTTATGTTGTTATCATTTAGTAAAAAAAAGGAAGTAGGAAGCAGGCACTAAATCTTTTCTCCTTGTTACACTCAAGTTAAATTGCATGTGTGCCTATATTCACAACTATGTTGCTCTTAGTGACAAGTAAATATTAAAGGTAGCACAACAGATTAATACACAGATCAAGGGTTTTAAACCAGTAACATGATTGTAATTTACATCTTGTGTATGGAGGTGTGTGTGCAGCCTTACTGCACAGTTTGGTATAAGTAACCTCTCTTATAGGCACTCAGTGGATAAAACGTAGTGACCACAAACTTGCCATCAAACGTTCGGCCTGTCAGCAGTCTCTGGGCTTCTTTGGAGTCTCCAGCATTTGCATACTCCACAAACACCTGCCAAGACAAGACGAATGAGGAATCTTCAGAACTGGACAAAATATATAGCACATTACACTCTGAATCATTGTCTTTCTATCCACTAGGAGGTGGAACTGACACCAGCTGCACTATTTTGCTGCTTCTGGATCAACAGCATCATGGGAAAAGAAATTATTTTTTTGTGAGCTTCCAAAAAGGATTTTTTATTTAATTACATTAATATACAGTGGGTACGGAAAGTATTCAGACCCCCTTAAATTTTTCACTCTTTGTTATATTGCAGCCATTTGCTAAAATCATTTAAGTTAATTTTTTTTTCCTCATTAATGTACACACAGCACCCCATATTGACAGAAAAACACAGAATTGTTGACATTTTTGCAGATTTATTAAAAAAGAAAAACTGAAATATCACATGGTCCTAAGTATTCAGACCCTTTGCTCAGTATTTAGTAGAAGCACCCTTTTGATCTAATACAGCCATGAGTCTTTTTGGGAAAGATGCAACAAGTTTTTCACACCTGGATTTGGGGATCCTCTGCCATTCCTCCTTGCAGATCCTCTCCAGTTCTGTCAGGTTGGATGGTAAACGTTGGTGGACAGCCATTTTTAATGGCTTTATAACCTTTTCCAGACTGATAGATCTCAATTACTTTCTTTCTCATTTGTTTCTGAATTTCTTTGGATCTCGGCATGATGTCTAGCTTTTGAGGATCTTTTGGTCTACTTCACTTTGTCAGGCAGGTCCTATTTAAGAGATTTCTTGATTGCGAACAGGCGTGGCAGTAATTAGGCCTGGGTGTGGCTAGAGAAATTGAACTCAGGTGTGATAAACCAGTTTTAACAGGGGGGAAAACACTTCTTCACACAGGGCCATGTAGTTTTGGATTTTGTTTTCCCTTAATAATAAAAACCTTCATTTAAAAACTGCATGTTGCGTTTACTTGTGTTATCTTTGACTAATATTTAAATTTGTTTGATGATCTGAAACATTAAAGTGTGACAAACATGCAAAAAAATAAGAAATCAGGAAGGGGGCCAACACTTTTTCACACCACTGTATAATTGAGTGGTACAATAAAATACAATAAATGGATAAGTCTTTCTATTGCATTCTCTTATACATACATACATACAGTGTGACCAGTGTTGTATAATTAAAAAACTCTTATGAGTTTCTTTATTTGAATGTGTCAAAAAGACTCACTAGTTATCGTTCTGAATCAATTTAATGAATCCTTCACAGAATGACCCCACTTAATCTGTCTGAATTGTTACCAAATTAACATCAGACTCTCTTACTGAACGGCAAGTTATCATTACTTTTAATCATGTCAAACGTTCTAATAAACCAGAAATTGTCATTGTCAGAGTTCCCACACTTTTGGAACAATAGATTTCCATGGCTTTGAGCTGTTTGTGGTTACTAGATAAGGCTATTTTTATAGAGATTATTATTTTACCAGGATAGTACCACTGGGATATAAAATATCTTCTTCCAATTATTAGGTCAAGAGAATATCTAGAATAATTCACATTCACTACTGAAATTCCATTTTCCTCACCTGTCCCTTGCCAGGATTCTCTTTTGGGATCAATAAGGATACAACCGTGCCATACTTCTGACATTCTTCTTTCATGTCCTCTATTATATCTAAGAAAACCAAGAAATAAATGTGACTTTGAGATCTACTAAATAAAACACTATATTTCAAATATATTTACTATAAAGATCATGTAAAGACAAAGACTAACCTTCATAATCATCCTCATTATACAGGTGGTTGTCGTCTATCACGTTTAGTAGTCTCAAGACAGGTGTAGGCAAAAGAACCAAATCTTCAATATGAGGTGCTAAAACCCAAAGCAGTTCCTCACTCACACAGTGTTACACCAAACTGGGCGATGTAGACAATGTTTTTAGATCCAAAGTAGGGCTGCACGATTAATCGCATGCGATATTTAACGCGCATCTTGTCAGAAATCCGGTTCTGTAATCAGCGTAAATCTCCATCACCTGCGGGCTTTCACATTGAGCAGCATTAACTACACAGAGCCGTTGTTCACTGACGAGCTGCGCTAAACCACGTTCATATTCGCGCGATTTTTTGCGCTGCTCATCAGTGAACAACGGCTCTGTGTAGTTAATGCTGCTCAATGTGAAAGCACGCAGGTGATGGAGATTTA